TGTGTGTGTGTGTGTGTGTGTGTGTGTGTGTCTAGGCGGGCATCAACGTGGACATGCGCAACACGTACAACCAAACAGCTCTGGACATCGTCAACCAATTCACCACCTCCACAGCCAGCAGAGAGATCAAACAGCTTCTCAGAGGTTCGTAGCTCTCGAAAAACAATGTAATGCTACATTGACGTTTTTGTGAAATTTGGATTTCTGGTTAAACAAGGTAGGGGAAACCCTTTGCATTGTGATGATGTGTCTGTCTGTTTTTGTCTTTGCAGAGGCATCAAGTTCTCTCCAAGTCAGAGCAGTGAAGGACTACTGGAATCTCCATGACCCTACCGCACTTAACCTTCGGGCTGGAGATCTTATTATGGTAACTGTTTTTGTGTGCATATGTTCTTTTAAGAGGGAAACAGTTCACTGTTATGGCTGTCTAGTAGAGATAGTCATGAGTTGTTGCTGCAGTCCCTAGTGGATTCTTGGTAACTGTGACACCTCTCTTCTTTGTTTGGAATACAGCAATTTTATTTGTTTATGTGATTTTATCATCTTTTAAATGATTGTTTTTCAGTAGTTTTAGTTTGTAGGAAAAATGGGACAATTCCAGTCCTAAAATCAGCACATCCAAAGTGTTGTTCTCAGCATGGATTGGATTCTTGCAGGTCTTTTTTCATGCCCACTAGGGTCGTACCAAAGCCAGAAAGGATCTTTCTTAAAACCCTGGACCAATCACTGCTGTGGACACGCAAGCTCCTCTCTATCTCATTAACATATGTCCATTCATGAATTTTCATTGGCTTGTTAAATGTGAGCAATGGTGGCAGCAGACTAAGTAGGCCATCCCAGATGTTCCTCTCCCCACTTAAGTTTTCCAGTTCCTCCTGGGGCATGCTAAGGTGTTCCCAGTCCAGAGGAGATATGTAATCCCTCCAGCTAGTTCTGAATCTACTCCGGGGTCTCCTCCTAGTTGGATGTTTATGAAGCATTTGTTTGGTCATTCTGTGAGTAAAACCTCCAAAACAAGGCGACCAGGAGGCATCCTAATATGACGTGAAGGAGCAGCAACTCTACTCTGAGCTATTTCTGAATGTCTAAGTTCTTCACCCTATCTCTAAGACTGAGTGAAGCCACCCTCTGGAGGAAATTCATTTTGGCCGCTTGCATCCTCGATATCATTATGTCACTGGCTAGAGCTCACAACCATATGTCAGGGTTGGAACGTTGACTGACTGGTAAATTGAAAACTTTGCCTTCCAGCTGAACTACCCCTTCACCATGAAAATTTAGTGCAATGTCTTCATCTGAAGGTCCATTTTCCCATCACTTGTGAACAAGATGCCGTGATACTTAAACTTCTTTGAGTAGCAACCCACCCTCAAACCAGCAAACCACCTGACTACGTTTTGTCAGTTTTGGGACTCCGTAGTGGCCCACATAGTAACCCCATTGTGAAATTGGTCCCTTGATAGACCATTACAGGTACAGATGAGTACATTTAGATCACTCTCAGAAGTAAATAATATTGCTCATAATAATGGCATGTGTTCAGGTCTGATATTGGACAATTAGTGAACAGTCAATTCTCCTCATCAACAGATTTGATATGGGGAGAAATGGGCAGTTGTATACACATGAGCGACTTTGACAGGGCTGAATGCCAAGGCTTGTGGGGAGCTTCCAGTCAGCAGTCATGACAGTAGTCTGAATGTGCTAGAACTTGCCTGATCCTTGACGGTTCCAACTCGCAGCTTCCAAGGCTTAAAGAATATGCTACTAACATCTTGGTGCCAGATACCACAGGATGCCTACAGAGGTCTTAAAGAGTTCATTCCTTGGTGGGTTGAAGTTGTTTAAGCAGCACATTCTGAATGACCAAGAGCATATTAGGCAGGTCGTCATAATGCTTTAGTAAGTTTATATCTTATACACAGTAGAAGATTAGTGGAATAAATGTAGAGGCTGCTTCATTACTGCAGGGATCACATAATTATTACGTATGACATGAGCCTGATAATGGCCCGGCCTAACAGACATGAGATGTCAGGAACTAAAATGAGAGTTGGACTTGACTGTTGCTTATTTTATCCCCGGTAGTGTATCATAGTAGAAGACAGCTGATGCAGCATCTGGGACTCTTCACTATGTCCTGACAGAATGAGCAGAATTTCAGAAATGTTTTTCCTATTTTTTTCCTACTTTGACAGCTATAAACGTAGCAAAGTCAAAGAGTAATGATGGTACCAGGTGAAGATGATCCCTGGAATTTCCACTGGATCAACTCTACACGTTACGCAAGTTGTGAAAGAGTTGTGTAATTTGGTGGTGTCTGCGATAATTCTGTGTGGTTTTTGACTCTATGATCATTGCTCAGTTTGCCATAGCGACTGTCTCAAAGGACAAAGGTATTGTGGTGTCAGATCCTGAGAAAAACAAAAGGCAAATAATAGAGAGAGTACAGTTACACACATGAGTGAAGGAACTAGAAAACACTTCACAAAAGTTGTAAAAGAAAAACAAACTGCCAATTTGGATTCATCTGAATGTTTTGCATCAAGGAAAGGCAGCTTTTTATTCTATGAAGAACTATATGATGAGGACTTCTGTGAGTGAATTCGTCATCATATAATTCAGCTTAAAGTTAGGATTTGTGTAGGATGTTGCCGAATAATTTAGTGTACCCTGTGCAGGAGACCACAGCAGAGAAACAGGCCCAAACTTGCGGCCGTCACTCTCTCATTACCAGCTTGTTTGCTCATTCCCGCACACATGCAGTGTTTGCACTAATTCACATCCTTGCGTTTGCGTGTTTACGCACTTACTACCATGTATTTTGATATCTTTATACGAGCCCCAATGACACCTTAGACTCCTGTTTGAACTCGTATGCTGCTGTGTGGTATCTTGTCAAAAAGCAGTTTGTTTTTGTCCTCTCAAGGCATTTTGTTAGCACTCACAATGAATAGACTGTGTACCTCCAGCTCATTGGCCCACTAATTATGGTCTTAAGTGCATATCCTGAGGAGTCACACACATGGCTTGCATACTTAGAGTTGATATATTGTTGACAAGGGATAGGGTTTTTTGGCTCAAATCAACCTTTTTTGTCTCACAGAATCACTGAAGAAATTGTTTGTCACTGTTTGTGTTGCATACTCTGGTCTGATATGATTGTGAACTGTTCCGAGACTGTTCCTGTTTTCAGTGACACACAAATTTCAATTGAAGCATACTCATGATTTGTGTGTGTCAGGTCCTGGAGCAGCACTCAGACGGCCGGTGGAAAGGTCACATTCATGACACTCAGCGGGGGACAGACCGGGTGGGCTTCTTCCCTCCCTCGGTGGTGGAGGTTCTCAGCAGAAGAGCAGGTATATATACAAGGAGCTTGCACACATCTGCACAAACTCAGACACTCAACGGTGGAAGGCAGCCAAGAATATTCAAGCAAGCACTGACCTGAAGTTTTAGATTATACTCTACAACATTTCAGAGGCAAATATTTTACCTTTCGGGTCCACATTTGACAGAGACAGTTACGAGGTGCTTTACCAGTTAAGATGTTACATACAAAACATTATCATCTAATGCAACTTAGTTTGTCATAGGTGTAATTACTCAATATTATGTAAAAATAGCTGAAACCTAAAATGCAGCTGACATCATAATGCATCAATAATAATAATTCACTTACACAATGCATTAAGTTACATTGTGAAACAAGCCACTTTAAACAATGAGTAAATTCACTTTTGGCACTTTAAGAACATTTGACTGATAATATCTCTTTGAATTAATTTGTAAACAGTGTAAATTCTAGCCCTTATGAAGTTGCGCTAGAAGATGTGTTGACAAACAGTTTCTTATTTACAATGTAAGTTTAGTATTCACTCTTCCTTTAGCTTTGTCTTGTTTTCTGTCAGTTCTTATGGAACTATTCAGGTCTTTAGTGAAAAGCTCCCTGTGTTTATCAGGTACTTGTTAACTTTAGTTTTTTAAAAATAAAAACAGCTGTCTGTTGCAGCTGGAGGCAAGGTTGATTAGAGCTGTGAGACTGAGGTAAACAGTAAAGTTGGGGCTGACCTTGTGGTTGAGTGGTACAGATGAGCTGAACTGTAAGGCTCCTTTTTGATTCCTGGCTGGCTTGACTATTTTTTGCTGTATGTCCTACTCATACTGTCTGTCCCCCAAGTTCCATGTCTGTCTCAGTTTTGGACAGTAGAACCAAATATTAAAATCCTACCCAGAAAAGAAAGAAACTGCAGAGTCAGGCGACAATTCACTGCATGCTATTCCTCTCACATTCATATTGCAAATTCTCATTTGAACTATAAAAATATGTCTATTAAGTGTCAAAATATTGGTCATCTGGGCGATTAAGTACAGACACTACATACATCGTGCATTTCGCATTTGATTTTATTTGAAAATTAGATACATACATGACAAAAAACATTAATAGCAGGGATAGAGCAAATGTTGACTATATCGTACTCTAACTACTAGCCTCAGTGCACTGAGAGGCCTGAGCTTACAGAGTGGCATTTAAATGGCTAACTTGACCCAGGGCAACAGTCATATCTGGGCTAGGAATATATCTTGATGCTTGTACACAAGCAACTGTCATGTTGGCGTGTATGATCACTGCAGGGTTCAGCATACTTGTAAACTGTATCTGATTTAATCCCTATGAATAAAAGGAATATGATCCCTCTGCTTGTTTTGCAGCTGTAAAGCCATTGACATTCAAACAGCGAAACGAGCGCAGTCAGGGGTCCAATAGCAGCAACAGACATAGATGCACATGCACGAGCTGAAGTATTTCATTTCTAGGCCCTCAACAAACCAGACTACACACACATGCATAGCTACACACACAGAGACAGATTAATAGGATTACTATGGCCAGATTGCAAAGTGTCAGCTCAGTGCTAAAGCCCTCCCAGTCTACGTTGGGATATTGTGAGC